GAAATTCCTTGGGTTTGGTATTCGTAGATAGTTTAGCTACGTTTTCAGCATTTTTATTTAAAAACAGAATTTCAACTTAATTTGATATTCGTATGTTTGCTTTTGATAGAAGATGCAAATCAAAAAAAAAAAAATAGGTAAGTTCATTGACACTGTAAAGTTCATTGCAATTGACAATATACAACAGTTTAAATAAAATAAAATTATTGACTAAATTCATATATAATTTTACAAAACTTTACTTATTTTCCTTTAACATAAAAGAAATTTTTCAGAAGACTTTAAATATTGGGACATAGTTATATTGAACTTATTAGGATCTACTATGAAATTAACAATATTAATTTTGATGGATTAAGTACGGTCTGTAAATGTACTGGTTTTGTGTTAATAAATAGTAGCTTTATAAATGGCCTTAATGTGTTCTTGCCTTCTGCCATTATCCCTTCTAGTAATAACTATTTATATTATTTAGTGGAGAATACAATACAACTAAACTCATATGACTTAATATGCTAATTCTAGCATTAAAAATATGTTTATACACGCATAAAAGCACTAATTGTCTTCAATTCTCAAGTGTTGAGTATGTACTAAATGTAGTTTATTAAAATTTGAAAAATTCATAAATATTATAAAAATTACATATATTTAATTTATTCAGAAGAAAAGATACATAACAAAATGTCTATAAATGCGTTGAGCAATTTTTTTACAATCATCATGTATTTAGAATCTATTCATCTGAACTTCAGATTCAATTTACATTACAATTCGAAACATTATATAGCCTCGTGCAAAATAAAGTGATGTGTAAAATTTTAGTCTCAAACATCTTGTCTTTCCATTTGTAAAATTTTTCAATCCGATACTATTCCGTGAAGAGTTCACAAGTTGAAGTAAGAAATCTTTGAAATATTGTATACGGGCATGTATTAATCAATAGATGAAAAAGAAACTGTTTACTATTGTATTTGGGTACCACAACATGTATTCCTTTGTGCACACATATCATCTGAATTCCCAACAAAACTGGGAATAACAAACTGAACAGCAACAAAGGAAAAGGAATCAAGTACGTGGTTAAAATAAAAGCCCTGCAGTAATTTAAAAAGAAAAATAAAACCCTTTTTAAATGTGTCAAACTCTACAAGCAAGAGATCAAACAGGAGCGTAGATGAGTTCTATTATAGAATATATTTTTCGAACAAAAAGTAAAATAAAAATGGTATACAATTTTAAAACTAAACTAATTCCATTCTTATCTTGCTCTGCTGCTATTGTCAGAGATTTTAACTGTTTAAATAAATCCATATCGACCTAAAAGTCGCTGATATTCGGTTTTCTTAAGGTATTATGTTCTATTCGGATATAGTTCAAATTTTTGCTTCAGTCTATTTTAAATTTAACAACTTTCTCATTATTGTACAGATATGCATATATACTATATATTTTTATATAAATTCTAATATGTGGTGTGGTACCTATTTAAATCTGGTTATAAAAAATTTAAATGATAGAAAATTAATCCTCTAGTGAATATTATATTACAGTAGCAACTGGGGTGGATGTCATGATTTCTGTTAAGTATTCTGAATGCTTCTTTTAATATATTAAGTATGACTATTTTATTTATTTTAACGAAAAAACTTGTATTCAGTCTCTGAGATCAATTAATGAGATCTGTGTTGTATCCCAATAGATTATTTATGTTTCACTTTCTTTCATTGAAGGAGTTTATATAGCAATATCCAACGCAAATTATTTGTATTTAATCTATGCTAGTTTATTACATCTTTTTCCATATTTTTGCACTGTAGATATACTTCACCAAGAAATTAATTTCTTCCTTCTGCAGTGATCAACTCATTGATATTTATTGAGTGAAAATAATTACGAGTCGGTACTAAGATAGAATGGCGTTCACAAATTTTGACAATTAATGTTTTTTTTTGTCTTTTTTTGGCTTATAGGTATGTATTTTGATATACATTACAGTTGCACTTAAAAAGGTAGTTTTATATAGTATAATATAGTATATAGTATAGTAAAGTGATTTACTTTGTGATTGATTTTTTTAAGCCTGTATTTTAGGGAAACAGAAAATTATTTACACGTGACTAATCCTTCATAAGGAAGATACATATCATTTACTTTAGTAGGATGAGGCTTTTATTTTTCATTATTTCCTTCTACCCGAATTCTGAATATTCGTATATACACTTATCCCCATTGCCAAATAATCAACTACTCCACTGTTTGGATTGTTTGTTTTGCTGTTTCACTTAAACTAAACTCTTTTTTTTTGTTTTTGCATTTCAAAGTTTATACTGATTTGAATTTTTTATTAAAAAAAGGAAAGCAAAACTTAACAAGTCCTTATATAAAAGTAAGAAATATGCATATATTAAATGGAAAATCAACAACAATATTTTTTTTTTATTTTTTAGTGATTTTGATTTGGGAAATTTATTTTTCTTGGCATTTATTACATTTTTGTGTTGTCGTTATTTTTACCACTTGGTATGCATTTAACACGTTCTTTTGCTGACATATCCTTGCTTACATATTCCTGTGAATTTGTGCGTAAGCCACACCAACTTTAATGCACAAATGCAAAAACACAAGTCCAACAATATGAGTTGAGATATGTGAGGAAATGCAAACTTTTGATGTTTATTTTAATTTGAAACACACAACTACTTTTTTTTTTAATATAAAATATAAATGCATAAATGACCATAAACAAAATAAATGAAAGTATTGTGACACAAACATGTAGTATGATTTATTTAAAAATAAAAACAATAGTTATTAACATAATTATTATAAAAATATATGAAATGGTACACCGTGACGTATGAGTTATGTTGACTTAATGAGATGCTCAACTTGAGAAACTCAAGAAATTATTCAATGAGCTCTTACTCAATATTAAACAAATTTACTTTTATTGAAAATTTTATTTTATCTCTCTTTAATTATTTTCATTTTGTCGGTTAGTGTTGACAATTATTTAACAAATACATTTTATTTTTTGAATTGGACTTACTTTGTTTAGTTTAAATTTACTTTTTTTCTTTTTCGAAAAATAAATAAATTTATATTAAACTATTTTAGCACTGATTTCTAGCTCAATTTAAAAGACAAAATATACATTTTAGAATTATATTCTTTAAAAATATTAAATTTATTTTATAAATTGGCATGTATAAGACTGCAAGTATATCTAAAACAAAAAATATCTTCATATAGTTTATTGTAAATACTAAAGCCAAAGTCTTTGTATCTTTTTCAATATATGATTTTCTAATATCAACTACTCTGAATTTAAATAGCAACATCTTCCTATTTTTTAAATACAAAAATTTGGTCATATTGAGTTATTTTTGTCTCAACATTTTCACAAACACTTTAGACTTTAGAAAAACTATCCAACTTATTCTCTACTTTAAAAATTATTTCATTCTAATAAATATTTGTGTTTAAAAGCACCATCATATCAATATTTAAAAGCACAGACCTGCATACTTACCATTCACTTGCATGCACGTATTTTAAAGGATACTCGTATCTGCACACATCTGAGCTGTGGAATCACTGCAATTGTGGTCACACAACCACAGACACAGAAAAAATCTTTTGGGATTTTCAATTGAGCAAGCGATTACTAGAATGAGGTGCCTGTCAGGCACGCCACCATTGTGCAGGCAACGACATCGTTCAATCTTTGGTTGGTGCTTTCGTTTGTACGCTAGCAAAAATCAACAAGTCCTTGCCTGACTTCGACATAAGAGTAAATCATTCACAATAGCAGCACTGATTGTGCAGTAAATCATTGTTGACTTAAAAAAGTATGTGTGGTTAAAAGCCATAAAGCATTTCATTAAGACCAGAAAAAAATAAAATTATATTTACCATTGGATGGATGCTGGTTATTAATTTTTATATATATGAATATTATAAATTGCATTCATATCAAATAATAAGTTTTAGTTATAATGAGCGTAGCGGACATTGCATCGCATTTCGCTATCATTCGATCTTCAAAATGAAAATCACATTGCAATGCATTAATTAAACTCTTATCAACAACTAAATAATTTAAATTAAATATCAATCTATTAGTTTGACATAAAACCAATTTAGTTGTGAAACTTATTTAAAACAATTGCAGCGGCAATTGATAGAAAAATAAATGTGCGTTATTTATCGTCCGGGATAAGTGCGTCCCTTTGCTGTTAGCACAATTTGCAAGCTAATAAATCAAATGCTTTCAAATAAACCATATTTCATGTCGTGCAGACAACTGAACTGTACAACTAAACCCGCTTGCAAAAACACCTTACAACAAAAACTCAACTCAAAATAAAACTCAGGACACAGTACTGCAAACTTTTTCCTACCGCTAAACAAAAAGTTCAGAAATGTCTGTGCAGCTACAATACGTAACAATAAAAAGAAGTTT